TCTCTCTCTCTCTCTCCTCTCTGTATATTTATTGATAAGAAAGGAAAAGAGAAAAGAGAAAAAATATCACTACAAGTAGATGGAAAATAATAAGAATAAAAAAGAAATATATAAATCGCCAGTTATTAATGGTAAAAGGAAGGATGATAAGAAAAATAATCTGTTTCCTTTCATTTTTATTTATGATAAAAATGAAAAAGAATAAGAAAAATTGTAATCTGTTTCCTTTCTCTCCTTTTAAAGTGTGTTTCAAATGGCTGGAAACTTATAAGAATGAAGGCAGGGCAGCAAAGAGGGGCTCGTCTCCCTCTCCGTGAGGAGTTCCATGGATTCTGGGACTGAGCTCTCTCTCTCTTTCTCTCTCCCTACACCCTCGTTTTGCGCCCATCGTAGTTCCATGTCCTGAAGGTTGCCCTCTTTTCCGCTCCGTTTCTTGTTTCTGGTCCTCTCTTTTACACCCACGCAGCGTATCTTCACTTCCGGTCTGTAATCATTTTCTACTGCTGTCTGCCGCCTTTTCTCCTTCGCTCCTGCGTTAAAAACCTCTTTTTTATTGGTTTTCTTCTCGCTGATATGATCGTGGGTTCGGTCGTCAGGAAGTTTCATTCTCGATCGCTTCGTTTGTGTTTCGTGCTTGAAGTCATCGTTTCCCTTTTGCACTAAAATCGTTCTTTATTTGGGTTCCCCTTTGTATGGCCATGGATTCTTTCGTTAAAAAATCCTTCTTTAGTGATTGTTTAATGGTGTGGTGGTTGGGATGAATCAGATTCTTGTTTCAGGCTTTTGCTATATTTATTTTCAGGTGCCGGCGGTGGATTTATCTTCTTTTTGCTGAAGAGTGTTAGGGCTAAGCAGTCTGCGCTGCTCTTTTAGTTGATGATGTTCCCTTGTGGTTTTGCTTCTTTGATGGCGGAATCGTGATGGATGAGGGTGGAATTGGTTGCTGAAACTCAAGATTTTCCGGTACTTGAGGTGGATTTATGAACTGTTTGTTCTTGTCGGTGCGGAAACGATCAATAATTGTCCTTTAGCCGTTGTTCCTCTTGAAAGGCGTTGATTCGCTGCTTATGCAAACGATTGATTTGATCGAGAGACTGGATTTGGTTGCAAAAAAGTTGGATTTTTATGGGGAAAAGCTGTCGATAACTCGGTTGTTTGGTTGGTTTTTGTGAAAAATGGAGAGCGAAAAAAAGATCTTGATGGTCGATGAGAATGATCGTGGAGATCTGGTGAAAGATTGTAAACCAGAGGACATCTTGTGCTCAGAGATAGTAATGGATGAAAATGGTGTACTTTGGTACGTGGATGGTAATGACGGTTTTGAGGGCGAGAAGGGTGAGGGAAGCAATGTGGTTTTTGCAAGGGAGGCTCCTCTCTCGACAAAAGACCCTCTGACCTCCAAAGATTATAGCTGTGGCACCAACAAGTTCAGATTGATGGAATCTGAAATCCGAAGGAAGGACAAAAATAAACAGGAGAAGAAGCTCAGCAGGAAGGACAGGATCGAGCTTGGTCGTTTGTTTCAGGGTGCATTGAGTTCTCAGGATTTAGAACTCGCTGAGAACTTCATTCTGTTGGCAGATCCACAAACTCTTAATGATATGCTGTGCATAACATTAGACTCCATATGGTTCTTGACAACTAAGCAAGAACTGAATGGTGTTACTGGGATGATCAAGAAGATCGTCGCCAATGGAGCTAATGACTTCACGAGGGCTACCCTCAGGACATCGTTTCTGGCTTCATGTGTTTCTGCATGTCAGAGCAAAACAATGAGTTTGGCTGATACAGTGGGTATCATGGCCCAAAGGTATCAAAGTCTCCAACCATCTCAATTCCCGTTCTTGGACATGAATAATTGTGATTCTTTGCATAATATCCTTTGTGGTAGGAAAAGTAGCATCTTGTTCTACGGATGATGAACTTGTGCCCTTCTCATCCTCTTTTGTCAGGTTGCATGAGCGTCTTCGAGAATGTCATGGTGATGAAGTTTTGAAGGCAGAAGCAGGTGTGAAGGTCCAGAAGTTCACAGACTGGGCTTTGAAGTGCATTGGGATTCACTCTCGGAGCCGAAAGGATAGGGACAGAAGGAGTTACAGCACAATTTTTGAGGTCCAACTTCAGTTGTCAGCTTTCAAAAGCTTTTTAGATCTTGCTGGCAACAGCCTTACCGGAAAGGATTTTACTGAAGCTTTTGACGCAGCATGCTTCCCTCTTACTCTATTCTCTAGCTCGTTTGATCCGGGTTGGGCATTTGGAATATCGGCAACTGTAATACAAGGATTACTTGGGATGCTAGTGGAGGGTGGTGCGGACAATGTAAACCAATGCTTTCTCGAGGCTTCAAGATTTGGAAGTACAGAGCTTGTCCGAATCTTGCTACAGGTATTCATCTACTTCTAGTTTGGTAATTGAAGTGCCTTACTTTTAAGTTGTTTTACCTTATATATTGGCTATCCGTCACCCCACGTACTAGGGAAGATACAAGTAGTTGAAACATTTTCTACTTTCAAGGAACCTTAATTTCTTTCGAAGATGTGGTAGTATTTCTTCTATGGGCAAACCTGATGCGTTGTACCAGTGGCTGATCTTTATAATTATTCCTTAATTAAGTGAATTGGAATTTTTGGTGAGCAAAAGGGAACCATCAATCAACGGTTGGACTTCTTACAGGAATAGGTTCTAGGATATTTCACGGGAGCTAAAGGTGGAAAGGGTTGCATTAACTGTCACTACACATGATGCAAAGATTATGCCATCACCAAGTGTGGTTTTACTAGGTTTAGCTGTCCTAATGAATACTTTCCTTAAAGATGGCCAAAACAATTATTTTGAAGATCTAATGGACCCTTTTTTGGAATCAAATTACTGGCTAAGATGGCTTCCGACTTGAGTTTCAACCAGACACCAGAATCAAATAATTTCTTGGTTTGACCAATTAAATAAAGCTGCTGGGAAATTAGTTTATAGAATGATAAACCTAGATTCAGCCGGATATGGAAGTTTTGATTCACATTCACTTTTTCTTTCTTCCTCCAGATTGCTCAAAGGAACAGCTTGGATGTTGATGTTGAACTTGCCTTAGGCTTTGCCTCTCACCACTGTAAGATTGGAACCATGGAATGCTTGGTGGAAGAAGGGAATGCTGGGGCCTTCCTTGGTCCTTTGTTGCGAGCTGCTGAGAGGGGCTGCATGCAGGTAGTTCAATGGTTTGTCGATCGGGGATGTAGGGATATGGAACTATGCATTGCACTTACTGCTTCCGTCGCTAGCAGCCAGGTGGGTATTGCAGCTTACCTTCTCCCACGCATCCCAGAGCATGTCCTTGCTGCCCTCAGCATTGAGATCCTAAAGGCAGCAGCTGAGAGAAGCAGTGGCTCGCTAGCTGGTGTTGAATTCCTTCTGCGCAACAACTTCCTTGGTGACCCTGTGGCAACATATGCCGTGGCTGACAGCATTGCCGAGTCCAGTGACGAGGCTGTGGCCCCTGACCTGAGAGCTTTTCTGAAGGAGCATTGGTCGGAGGCAGCATTTGCTGAGGGCTTGAATTATGGGCAGAACCACTTTGTGAATTTTATGAGGATTCTGAGAAGGGGTGGCTCACCCATCTGTCTCAGGGATCTTCCGCCGTCCCTGGTGACGGCCATAGCGTACCTATCGCTGTACAGAGAGTGTCGGAAGGCAGGTGGGTTGTTGTTGCCGCAGAAACTGAGAGGGCAACTTGTGGAGGCAGCTAGCAAGGTCGCGGGGAGGCCGGTGGACAAGAACAGCCAGGCAGGAGACCTTATGGCAGTTTTGGAGCATCACCTACCGACCTTCTTTCTGCAATCCCCAACCACCACCAGCCCCCCACTATAGTTTAACTTACTGATAGAACACGGAATCAAGGGACAATAAATGACTTTGCTATAGCCCTTTAGCTAATGGAACTCTGTGTTCTCTTTGGTGTTCTATGCTTCTGCATCAAGAGTTGCATGGAACATTTTAATGGCAAGTCAATTGAGGGTATATCTTGAAAATTTGATCAAGCTAAAGTTGAATCTGCTGCTTGTAATCACATTGCAGTACTAGTATCTGAGCATTATTCATGAAGAGCTACTGGTTTATACCACAATCATGTTTAATGAGATGCTATCATCAGCAACCAAGAAGTGTCAGATGCTCACATTATGCATTGTGTATTGGACAAAGACTTATGCTTGTGGGTTTAACTGTTTGCAAGATAGATGTATATTATACTGGAACAAGGGTAAAAATATAAAGAAAAAACCCCTAGCTAAGGTTCAAGAAGCCTTACATCATTCTGAAATCTTTACACCATAATCAACCAGAAAGTTGGTGACCCAATAATCACAACAACAACAACAAGATCTTGATTTTGCTCCATCTGCATCATAAATCTTATTCAAGTCTCCAGGAATACAGTGATGTAGCCAACCCTCAATTATCTGATGTGCTATAAATCAAACAAACTATTGCTTGCTGTGAATACTGTGTATCATAAAGTATAGTTGGACTTGAATGAACTGTATCATTATGTGGAGACAAACAATTTACCCATTAAACAGAACAAGAAATCCATATATTTAAGTCACCTTGTCTTCCAAAATCAATCCACTGGATGACAAATCAAAATTACTATGTTAGATCCCAACATTGTAATATTTTATATACATAAAAAAAAGGACATACTAAATGCACAAGGCTCTCACCTGTATCTAAGATTGCAAATATATGAATTCTGAACACATATCTCTTTCCTTTGACTATGCTAATGTCACTGATATTTCTTTCCTTTGGCTATGCTAATGTCACTGGTTTCTTACACAATATCTCTTGGTGCTGACATCAAGAAACCAGAGATTGCATGTTCAAGACCAGCAACTTAGATTTATTTGTGAAGTAAAAATTCTGAAAGGAAATAATCCTATGATGTGAGGCTAGAAACAACAACACATTAAATAGCTTAATTTCTTTGGCACATCTTAAAACTTGTAGAAAATGAACAAGAATATTGTGAAAATTTTTGCTACTAACATGAACATCAAGGCTGAACAAGGCCAACTCAATTTATTCACAAGGTGATGCAATCTTTCTTACATCTGAGGGCATGAATGCCAAGATCATGAGCAAAACAAGGATGCCTATTGGAAGCAGCAGCACTGCAAGAGGTGGTGGAGGCAATGTGGGTAGTATCACTGGAAGTATCAGCAACGAGGCAGTGAGGCAAAGCAGAACCAGAAGAGACTCTGCACTGAAGTACTTGGAGGAGAAGGCTTTATGGTCTGGTTCTTGTGATCCAACTCCTCCATGCTTAGTTCTTGAAGTAGCTGCAATGCTATGTCTCTTTCTTCTGCCATCCATTGAAGCACTCTAGTAGAGTTGATGCTTCAGAACACACACTACTCTCAGAGATGTCAACAGTTCATGAGACACCACCTCTCACCAACTTGGCTTTCTGTGAGCTAAATTTGCTTGCAGCTTCAGAAACAATCACCCACTTCATGATCAATATCCATGTAGAATCTCACCCTGTTTTTAGATGAGCAATGGAGGCGGTCAAAGTAAAAGAGGACAAGAAGCTGCAAATTTAATGGCTTTAGCATCTGTGACCAGATTCACCAGTTTCCTGAATCCATTGATCATTATAGAGCAGTTAGTTTTGTGGTGAGAAACAGAAAACAACGCAATAATTTTATTAGATCAATCTCAAAAGTCAAAGCTCTGAAGGATCATCATGCAATCTCAAGGAATCATTGTTTACACTCACATAGAAAGAAAACATCTGAGAAGATCAACAGAGCAACATCTTTGTAGATCCAAGACTGTCTGCTACATCAATTCCTTGAAAGTTGTTGCCCAAAAAAATCAAAGGAAAAGAGGGGAGAAAACAGTTACTAGGAAGAAACTAAATGGTTCTTTGGATGAGCAAAGTAAGACACAAAATCCAGATAAGAATCTCAACCAACAACATCATGAGATGGGTTGCCCATTAAAATTGCAGCAAATAGAAGAAGGAAGGTGGTTTAGCATCGAAGGTCATTTTATTGGGTTGGCAAACACCCATTGTAAGAAGATGACAATGGAAGAGAGAGATCAATACCTTAGTTGCCATCTGTTGCCAGTCGAAGTAACATAAAAGGTCATGAAGAAGACACGAGTGATCAGTCAGTCCATATGCTCTCTCTCTCTCTCTCTCTCTCTCTGTTTTCTGAGTTGCTCACATGCAGAGGAGGCGGGGAGGAGGAAGGGGAAGGGGGAGGGGGAGGTCGACGACGAGGTGCTTGGCGATCGACGGCGATGAGATATATACCGTGGGAGTAAAAAGGCACAACCAGATGGGCGTCCGCTGCTCGCTTCTGACGTGTGTGGGGTGGGTGGGGACATGAGAGCGAAAGATGGTAGAAGGTTGAGGGGTGGATACATTGCATCCTATTCATTCTCGACAGGCAACGCTGTCCATAGATATGGGAGTTTGTGGTGAGTAGGCATAGATTCTCCTCGATCTAATGCAAAACTAAATCCTCAAACCAAGTCATCGTGACATGAGTCATGAATTTTTTATTCATCGATCAATATTCTTAATTTGATGATTACAATTTTCAAAAGCTTAAACAATTAGGGAAAAAAATTCGATTAAAATCTCACAAATAAACTAGTTTGTGCTTCACAAACCAAAACTATATGTTAAACTGGCATAATGGATAACCCATAAATATTTATTATATTATATAAGATGAAATAAAGATATACGAATGTATAATTCTAATTCAGTATTATTGTTACATTGAGGTCATCTACTGATGAGTCAGCTCAACTCTATCTAACACCAAAAGTGTAGATCCCTTCTAGAGAGCTAACGCGGAGGGCTGCTGTGTAGAGTTGGCCTAGGGCGTAAGTGTAGAGAGCTTTTTACTTGTGGAAGGGGTGTGGGAAGATAGATCACCTTCCTCGTGGGAGTTGTCTCGTAATGCCTCCTCAACTAGCATCAGGGATCCTGCACGATAGGTCTGCATTGGGAGAGGTCTTGACGTGGTCTCTCCGATGAGAGAGATAGGGAGTGGATTAGTTAGTTATATTTAGGAGAGTGTGGTGTTCACTCTCTTGGCCCCGTTTGATTTTTAGAGCTTGAGTGTTTTTATACTTGGGCACCTAGTGGCGAGGATGGGGATTGGTGAGGGTCCCCCCTACCCTGCTCTTCAGGTTCCATTAATAGATGTGACGTACCGATACATCATCCCGAGGTCGGTGTCGATTCAAAACCATCGGATGACATTCTTTGTCCGACTTTTTTGTCATTTTGAGTCAGGCAGGGAATGATCCCTTCTCCGATCGTTCGAAAAGGAGGTGGCGGAGGCGAGCCATGTCGCTGGTCATTAATGCGGGGGCATAGCTCTTTCAACGATGATTAGTTCTTACGAGCTCTCTTTGGGGGAAGTTGAAACAAGACACACTAAGGATTCGAGTTCCATAGGATCATAGATTGAAACAAGCTAATCCAATGGAACTCGAATCCTTAGTGTGTCTTGCTCGAGAACCGAATAATAGGTCACCGATGATATGTCTCAATATACTCTGATCGTAAAATTTTAATATCTAATTAGTATACAGTCACATATCAATGGAGGATTAGACGAACTAAGGTTTTTTCAAAATCAAGAGTTGTCTCAACTCTTATATCCCTTTCAATGATAAAATTGTCTTACAACTCCCTATGGAAAGTTTCTAAGACAGTCAGTCGTCTTACGTCTGTCTCTCCATGGATAATTTCTCGTGGGTCGGTCTAAGCAAAGATAGTAAATGATTGACTCAGCATAACCCAATCCAATCCAATATTTTTCTTTTTGCTTTTGAAGGGAAGGGAAGGGTAATAGCAGTTCCAAAAACGAAAGAAGAAGAAGAAGAAGAAGAAGAAGAATCTATTTCCGATCTTCCTGATACAGTAGTGATTCCCATCGTCAGCTTCAAACGGAGAAGCTTCGTTCATTCCGGTGATCATCAAATCAAAGCCTTCCCTTTCGTTTCGTTTCGTTGCTCCCAAGGGCCAAAGACGAAGTTGACATTGTAGGTTCCCTTCACTTGGCCATCTTCCCTCAGCTCCCCTTTGTCCTTTTCTGTACTCTGCTCACCACCACTTTCGCACATGATTTGGTTCTCCAATCTCGCTTTCACTTCTGAAAGATCTCAGTACACACATGTACATATAGGAATCATCTACAAGTCTATAATTGATATACAAATCACGACAATTAAGTTGGGGATTTCGAATCATCTTCTAGAAGGCTATAATTGATATGGAAATCACGACAATTAAGTTAAGAGTTTCAAAGTAATAAATGATATAGAAATCACGGCAGTTAGGTCGGGTTTCGAAATAAAATTCGATAAATCATCGAGCACGAATCATCATCTACAAGGCTATAATTGATATTAGAAATCACGACAATTAGAAATAAAATCCGACAAATCATTAAGCACGATCACAAAAATCGCCACGAGAACAAAAAAAAAAAAAGTGTGAAGAAGGGAAAGCTTAGATTTCCCCTCAATGGCTGTTCAAGCTTTAGTGGACTCACGGGATCTTGTACTGTGTACTGTGGAAGATGCCAACTCCATGTTCTCTGCACTGTTTCTTGTGCCATTTCCTGTTTCATCCTGTGTAAAGGAGAATCACATTACTAATTGGTTCAGCAAGGAATTTTGAGTATTAGTTTCGAAAGTATTGCATGGATTTCTAGTATACCAAGTGACCTGAATAAGATTAGTGGTATGAAAATAATAAAAAGAGACTTGACTAATACAAATCATATAGTTTACCTCAAATGGTGGAGACACCATTGTGTCAGTCTATGCTATGCCCTTGATATCATTTTCAAGCTACAAGAAAGCAGCAGGGAGATGATGGCCAACCTTGATCCACGTACCTCACAACACATCACATGTGTGTTTGTGTTCTGGATGCTGAGATGCTCTTCACCAACTGTATGAACTGAACCTGGTCTTGAACAGCATCTCAGCATTCACTCACTCAACTCTCATGGGAGATGAGACACCCACTCCCATCTGCTGCTGTTGGGCGGTTGCTCCAGTGAACACTTTGATCTTGTTCGTGAAGATGAGTGCAAAAAAAGGCACCTTTTGTCCTGCTGTCCTCGTCAACCATCCACTGGGGGTATCCACAGCTGTGGCCGATTCAAGTTCTTTAATGCAGCAGTAATAGATCCACCACGATCACATGTGATGTGGTTGACATTGTTGGCTTGGTTCTTGTGTTTCCAGTCGAAGATCTGGAGACATGCAAACCCATCCTTGTGGCTTGCTTGCTTAGGAATCAACAGAAGCAGCATGTAGTTGCTAACAGCTGAATCTAGTGTTCCTGCGTAGGGCCAACTAAAAACAGGTCAAACCATTATAACATTTGCATCATGATCAATCCAATTCAATTGAATGCAACTATAAGATGATGATGATGGAACACAGTCAATTACCAGTTAACTCTAAGATGATGAGCTGCATCTTTTTCTCATTACAGAAATTTGAAAAATCTCATCTGAGAACTTCTCTGAGATGCTTTGTGGCAAATAAAATTATACAAAAAGAAGCTTATAAAACCTTTGGATTTATTGCAAATTCTCAATGTTTTTCATTTCATCAAACTTCCTGAGAGTATTATAGTTTCGATGCCATACCTTCCAGGCCTTGACCTATTCGACAGTTCCCATCCTCATCTTGAAGATATTGGACAGATCCAAATGTCTTTCTATGTGCGAGTAATCTTCTCCATTATTCTTAAAATAGAAATGATGATACCATTTGGTGAGGTCCCTTGCTCTTGCGACATGTTCCTTCCTGAAACAGAGACTGGGTTTCTGAAGTAGCACAAGGTCACATGTTTTGTTATAATAAAGCTTTGAATCTTGTATATGAAAAAAAATCAATTGGAAAGAGGGTGCAATGGAGCTTCACCAATTCTTAAAAGAGAGCAAAGACAATGTCACCATCTATGATACAAGACCCAAATTCTAGGCAATATTTAATGCACATGCCAGATGTTTGAGAAAAGAACTCGTAGGAAAATTTCCCAATTATTTCCGTTGACAAGTAAATACAATATTATTCCTTGAGCATGCGCTTAATACAACTTTTTATTGGGAACAGAAAAACAACAGAATGTACACTTCAAATTGACTTGCATTCTAGGATTAGCTTAAGAACACGGAGTCATGTTAACTGGAACCACTGGTGTACTCACCTGATTCTAACAATGCAAGATTTCTAAAGAGGAGCAAAATATGGAATGTTGGTATCGGTAACCATGAGAATTTGCAGATGATATAAACGAGATTATCAACTTATTTGATGTCCAATATATTTTTGTGGCAAACATGGGAGATGAATTTGCACATAGCCAAGCATCAAATATGGGCATGAGGAATTACATTTTTGGAAATACTCTGCTCTAACAACAAGTATCTTGATTTTCAGTATCTATTTCTTCCTTCTAAAAGTAATCTATTAATTACAATACTTCAAAGGAAGAGTATTTTACCTTCGAAGGCTCTGCACCCATCCACATTGGAAGCTCTATCTGGGATCAATGTTCAAGACCTAGAACAAGGTAGACATGATTGTTAGCATTCACTTCTTTTTCTCTGAGGTACATGATGAGGATTCAGAAAGTTATTGTACATTAAATTAGATGACATAGACAATTAAAGAATGATTATTTCAGTGTTAAAGAGAAAACAGTCAGAAACCTCATTGAAAAGATGGTTTCTAATTGTAATAGTGTATTAGATAGCCATTACATTCATCTATAGTTGCAAATTGCAGATTAGTTACCAAATACCAACTGCATAACTTCAATAGCCTGCATAAAAGAGCCTAAATTCAAAGACAGAATAAAAGCAAGTCCTGCAAGCATTATAGTAGGCTACTTTATGTGATGACTACTGTTTCCCTGTCAATAAGTTGTATCCCAATATCAACTCAGTTCATCCAAGAAAAGTAGGAATGTAGCATTCATGAAAAGAACATGATATCACATCTCATAGTTCATCCAAGAAAAAAAAATTGAAGACTATGTAAAAGCTTGGTCTAAGATTCTAAAATACAAGGGATTTCAATAAGTGAGAAAAGCAAAACATCTCATACTTCAAATAAGTGGTTTTTGTAGAACAATGTCCAATCAGAATCACCAGAAGAGTCCAGCACAAGCCCCTCCATGCCATTGGATTCTGCACATGAGATCGGTCCTCGTGGAGAAACTTCTGTTTCACTCCTTTTAGCTTCAGACACAAACTCAACATATCCAAAACCAACTGGTGCAATAGTTTCTGTTGGATTCTTTAAAATGGAGCTGCTACTTCCACAGTCAGACTTAAGATCAGGAATGGATGCTCCTCTGTGTTCTTCATGGTGAACAAAGTTGTCATCATCTGAAAGCCACTGGCAGTGATCCAACTTCCCCATCTCCAAGACCCTACTGATAGGTTCCTCTCTCCATGATACCCTTGTTTGAGAACTAGGTAAAACCTCTTCTTTAGCAGAAGCATCCTTTACAATAGAGATCCTATCACAGTAGAGATTCTGCAAATGATTAAAATCTACAGAGTTTGACGTATGACATCGAAACTGGAAACTAAGCCCAGGCAATGGTGCTCGACAACTTGTATCATTGCTTAGTGGCTCCGGTGACAAGCTAACGTTTTCAAGAGACTCTGCCATTGCATCCATCTTAAAATCACCCAGATCATATTTCTTTCTTGAACTCGAAAAAGATGATGGCTTGCCGGTAACATGGCCTTCAATCCAAGAGTTCCCAGAAAACAGCGAGTTCTCTAAGACAGAGCAATTATGATGTCGTCCCGTCTCTTGCTGAGGCCTAATATGTTTGGTTTTGGATGTCTTTGCGATCCCCAGGATCATAGAGAAAGGACTGACACTACCACCAGTACTAGGAGTTTTCTGAATTCCAATACCAGATGACAGTGTTGTTTCTAAACTTGGAGAATCGAGGCTCATCAACCCACTGAGTTCAGGTGATTTCTCCCTGATAGAATTATCAGGAAAAAACCTCCAAGATCCACGATCAGGTGAAGTTCTGTTCCCCATCAACAACTCATCTTTGTGCATACCTTCTCCATCTTTACAAGGAGAAAGAAGCCAATCCACAGAAGCTTCAGCGGCAAGAACTTTAGAACTAGAATTGAAACTGCTATCGAGAGCCATATCAACATTCTCTGAAGGTGAAGAAAGCCAATGCATGGATGCCTCCGCTGGAGGAGGAGGAGGGAGTGTTACAGAAGCCTGAGTTCGATCAGTACGTCCAACATGAACCTTTTCAACCTCCGGCTCCCTTCCGCCGACGGTAAGTATGCCTCTTGCCCTACATTTCCTCCGGTCGCGCACTCTGGCGATCACATGGCCTGCAGCGAAGCATACAGGTGTCACAGCCACTGCAGAGGCCTTCACGGGAACCTCCGGCGAAATGGATGCTTCAACGGGAGGAATGGTGGCTGAAGTCGGTGTACTCATCAACTTCTGTTCTCCTATCTTTCCCTCCAAACCCTTCTCAAAATTCTTGCAGTTGGAGATATGTTTCCTCTTATTGCACCGCTGAAAGAGATCCGCGTTTCTTGGATTCGATGCTTTCCTCGATACGAGCTGCTTGTCGGCTTCAACATCGGACTTTGATGTGTTCTTTCGGAAGGTTTGATACCTCGAGGGGATCGTAGGGTTCTTGGAGTTGGAGGGTACATTCCTAGAATTCGAAGGGGCCGATCGGTGAGTTATCGGCGCTGGCTTCGACCGGGCTAGCGATTCTTTGTCAGAGGAATGAGAGAGCAAGAATCTGAAGCACCCCCCTGTGGGTGCCTCCGAGGAGCCCAGATGAGGAGGAACCGAGCCGCCGTTGAGATCCTTCAATGGATTTCTACTCTGTGTCGGCTTCTTCTTGGCCTCCGATTTCTCCATCAAACACTCCTTGTAGCTCCTCTTCCCCATCTCGGAATGGATCCGTTGGCAAAATGGAATTCTTTTAAAGCGAGACGAGGCGGGCTTTTCCGCTCGGCCTCGAGTTTTCGACCCGAATCGATCGCCATGTCCAGGGAGGAGGAATTCTTCAAACGATCGGGGCTCTCCATGGCGCCAAACTGATAGGAATTTGACGGTGAGATCGGCGACGGCAGCATGAGATGGACGGCTCGATTTCTCCCTTTAGCGCCACGCTGCCGTTCGGCCCGTTGGCGGCAGCATACAAAAAGAATCCAAGAGAAGGCCAAAACAACGTACCGCCATTAGCGTCTGCGTCTCCCGCCGCTCCGGAGTTGCGCCATGGGGAAGAAGGAGATGGAGAAGATCGCCGACCCTAACTCTCAAATCGAAACAAAACCCTATCTTTGGAGCTAATCTGTTTGCCCTGTCGGTGTTGAGAGCAACTGAATTAGAAGATTAAATAAAATATTATGCAACTGATAATTAAACATCGAACGAAATAGAAAGGGATGCACATGGCATTCGAATTCACCCACCTATATAACCATCACGTTACCAAGCCAATCCCTTGTGACCATAACAATTGGGATTGCATAATCTTATCAACACCCATCCAAATCCTCATGATCTAATAGAAGAATACAATTTGGGACATCAATTCCAGAATGGGTATTACAATTATGTGCTAGGAAATCAGCTACAGTACCAAGAAGGGGTCTCTTCCCATCTTCTTTGATATCTAAACCACTTACAAAAAGAGAAAACCATAAAAGAACTCCGATAGGAAAAGTGATCGATTTATTCACATCCGGGCTGCCTATTTGATCGCAAAACAGAGGAGCTATATCGGAAGAGCATAACCACGTAGATAATTGGAATTAACACCTGACTCTCTGATTAGAGCGATCCGACCGGTTCGTGCCACCTGAGAGACAAATGAGACCAGAAACAAGTTTTTGGATCAAACAGTTGTCCATGAAAAATAATTAGATGCATGCACATATATACATCGTTCAACAATAAAAATGAATCAGACATCGAAGAGTGTCGTTAAAACAAAATGAAGCTGGCCAAGGCTGATGAATTATCTGGTACATGTTAGAAAACCGACGAGGACCAGCATATAATTTGAAAGCTAAGTCACAGAAGCATAAACTGAATAAAAGGAACGATACCTCACAGATGCCATAGGGCTCCAATAACCTTTGCAGTGCGACCATCTTGTTCAAATCTCCAGTGAGCTACAATAAATGTTACAACTGTCAAATGATTTGCACATTTTTTGGCATAAGTATTCAAATAACAAACTTTCATGTTCAATGGTATTTTTTGAGTATGTTCTACAGACGATGATCTCTTAAACTAAACAAATAGTTAAGCTGAAGGACAAAAAGGAAAATAGTTATCCTATGTAATAGTTAAGAGATTTTTGGCAGATGAATGGGAAACAGGATTGTGATTGTTTAATGCACCAATTAGAGCTGCGTACAGGTTAACATGGTCAATGGAGGACATGGTCATGTGCAATAAAATTGGAGAATTGGTGTCAAGGCCCAGGCTTCAAATCCTCAACTAGTAGGTCCAAGAGTAAATCCACACATTAAAAGATAACTTATCTGGGATCAATGTATCACTCAGCTCAGTAAGAAGAAAGCTACATAAAAAAATCATCAAATTGACACAACAACATATCTAGGATATAGACAAATGATGACATCTGAAAAGCTAGGCTAACTGTATGTGGTTTGATCTATAACTTAATAGCAATAAGAAACAAATTGTATTAGGAGTTTCCAACTTGACTGAAAGAATATAATCAGGCAAAACTAAATTTTAATTCTGATAACCGCCTCCACTGTCTTGGTTTAAACATTTTATTATAGACTGAAAGAATATAATCAGGCGAAACTAAATTGTGATTCTGATAACCGCCTCCACTGTCTTGGTTTAAGCATTGTATTATAGATTCAACAAAACCAGCTTAATGCAGCAGTCTGCTCACTCCACATGGAAAGTAAATAATGAAAATTCACCACCAGAATGAAAAGTATTGATCTAGAGAGCTGAGTGAAAACACAACCTCAAGTGCGATTGTATGACCAGAAACATCCACAGCTTTTGCTCTAAAAATCTCAGCGATGTCTAGGATATCTCTTCGGGCAGCAGTGTTTACAGCAACCTTTATAAGCATCAGCTCTCGTTCAGCAAAAGGCAAATGAGTGATATCGTGAACCTGAATGTGTCAACTTAAGAGACTAAGAATGTAATTCGGGCCAGCTCGTCAAGGCATTGAATTTAATTTACCTCATGGACATCAATAAGCTTGTAAATCTGCTGTACTAACTTTTCAATAGTTTCATCAGTTCCAGGGACCACCGTAGTAATACGAGATATACCTTCCTTTTCAGCTGGACCAACAGCAAGACTCTGTCAAGAAAGGGAGTCTAAGCAATTCACATGAACATTTAAACCAGCAAAAGTAAAAAAGTAAACAGACGTTGACAACAAGCAACCTGAATATTGTAACCCCTGCGAGAGAACACCCCAGTGACAATGTTCAGGACCCCAGGAATGTCATTTACGAGGATGGATAAAGTATGTGAACGAAGTCCACTTGACTGGGAGAAAATATAAATCAAGCACAGATTGTATGTACTTCAAATAAGTTAATGTCAAATTTTAGCAAAGCAAGCCTCTATGATAAATGCAATAACATAATAAATTCAACAAATTTGAACATTAAACTCGTCAACAGCCACTGGAAACAGTTTGTAGCTAATTGACGAACCGATCCAAATACGTGAAGGTTCAAATACATGTTCCTAAATAATCGTGTTAAAAAATTGTTACATCTGTGACTTCAACATAGGTAAAAGAACAAGTATCTCCAATATCTTGAACAAAATGAATTGAGTTTAATCACACTATCCACAGATAGTGTAATGTAATAAGGCAAAAAAGAGTAAACTTACATCTTCATCATCAAGAACGCCCCAATGTGCATCAAGAACTTGATTGACCACAAAACCATTGTAGGGATCCACCGGATAAACATCCCCCTTCAATTTTTATAAATCATCATTCACTGTTCAACAAAGCTATATACTAATATCCATGTGAATCTACAAAAAATGCATCTAAAAGATAGCTACTCTTTCAGAATGGGAAGAATGTTTAGCTAGTGTTGGAATGTTTGGAAGGAGATAATCAGGCAACTTTTGTTGGCTTATAACCAGCTTTGAACTTTTTTCATCTTTGTTCTGTGGGCTGGTTGCTTTTATGTAGATACTGTTTTGTTTACTTTGTTTTCCTTTTTATTTTGGTCTACCTTCTCTATATTTCAATCATTCAGCCATTTAAAACAACGACGTTGGTTTTCCCTTCCAGATTTACTCCAGAAAAAAAGAAAGAACAGTGCATATGAATTTTGATACATAATCCATTTTATGTTTTAAGGATATTCATGTTTGAAAGATATTCAATGTTTTAACAAACTCCGACAGGTACAAGTATTCTTAATATGTTATAATCTCCAAACATCATATTTGCTTAAATTATAACCCTTCAGTAAGTTTGTGTCCTTTGATTACCCCCTTGTACTTAACTAGAATGAGTAAATGATTGCAAGTCAGGTAAAATATGATTCTATCGTAAACCCAATCAGCATTTGTTCCTATCAGAATTATTCCATGTGATGTAATTTATTGTAAAAACTCCCCTCCAGAAGTATAAGGTCAATCTAAGGAGAACCAACACAACTTCTTGATAGCCATTGACTGTTGAGAAAAATGGGAAAAGATAACCAACTCCAGATGATTGTTCCAAGTCGCCACTGAATGTTCCACTGGGAGACTGAAGTATAGCCATGTGACTCATGCTCTCAAGGTCTGGATAAGAAGCAGCAGAGAATCTCCAGAAAGGGGCTGTGTCTCCAATTTTTTCCCTCCTTAAAGCAATCTACAGGAAGAACAAATTTGGAATTCAGAACAAATTCAGAACCTTGCCCAGAAGAAACAAGAAAGGAGACAACCATTTAAAATTATTGTAGTCATAACCTTGCCAGTTCGAGCAATTTCCTTGATCCCAAACTTGCTCAGGCTCCTCTGAACTGCAACTATTTTCCCAGGATCTCCAGTTACCTGCACTCATACATATTAAATAGTTAGGCCTCAGATACTCATAACTAAAACAGAACAGAGAAATAATGTTGCAACTATCACAAAAGCAGAAGGTTAAATGAATATGACCTCTATAGTAATAGAATTTTCTGAAATATCAACTACTTTTGCTCTAAAAATATCAACCAAGCCCAACACCTGCAGATAGAAAGCAAGCAACATATGAGAATAAAACAGTATAATAGAAGAAAGACAAATTGATGCAAGGAACTAAACAAAAACGCAACATCAATATCATCATTAGACCAGCACCTCTGTCTCACCCTCAAAATAACATCCTAGAGGTGCGAACCTATCATAAAATAGAATATTTTTCAATCATCCACAATCCAAACCCATGATCCAAAACATAAAATTTGAAGACACCAAAAGCATTCAATTCTCATTCACACACATTATCTAACTTGTGTAGTTTATAATTATTCAACACATCACTTGATAACTCCATAAAACCCAAGGCCAATTCAAAATTATTAACAACCACTTATAAACTCACAAGATCAATGAAACGCCATAAATACAAGAATGGATGAGATATATTTATACATGTTGGAGAGACTCATTAGGGTGAAAAGACAATGCCTATTCGAGTGAAATGTTATATCTTTTCGAATGAAAGGTTATGCTTGTTCGCTCGAAAGGACATGTCTATTCGAGTGAAAAATATTCATTCATTTAGAAAACCCTACCATTTTCAACAATAACACCTCTATTAGCTTGTGAGTGTTATTGGGAGATGACAACTATCAGTCAGGATAACATGAAATTGAATCTTTTATGTGAAACATGTGGTTTTGATGCGTAAGATTATGATTTCCTTTCAGTATAGGACGTCACGGTAAATGGAGTTGAGATCCATGCTAGCAGCACATCAATATGTAATGATTTATGTTGTCAAGGTCCACTCCATGACAATGATAGACGACTAAGGCTAATAAATTGATGTGCTGCTACTTTTACCTTGTTTTCTCCTACGTATTATTATTTATAAGACACTCTTTTCTTTTCTCACTCATGGATTCCATCACCCCCTCGTAGAGAGAGATTTTCTCTCACAAATTAAGGAAAGAAAATGACTAAAGTAGCAAGAAGAACTCAGACGCTGCTTGTAATCATACAATGAAGACTCGATGCTCGACCTAGACACTGTGATTGGATCCACCAGCCATGCGAACATCTCCTTTGTACAATGTCACATCAATGTATGGCGATGGGGGAGCCTCGATGACATTCAAGTAAGAAAATTAATATTATTTATCATTTTTGTTTATAATAAAAAAATTTATTCCATTTAATTTTACTAGTGCAATGCTTGTAGGTAGTGATATACCGCAAGCAGATTGGAAGAAATTAGAGACATTAAAATTCTCGGAATGACCCGATGATACTTCATGTTTATTTCTCTAAATCTGCTTGCGGCATCACTGCCTATCAGCATTGCAGTAGAAAAATTCAAAAGAATAATCATTTATTATAAACTAAAAATAACAAGAAATACAATACTAATTTTCTTATTTGGATGCCGTTAGAGTCTCATTGCCACACGTTGATGGGACACTATACAAAAAGAAGATGTTTGTATGGCCGGTGGACTCGATCGTAGGGTCAGATCGAGCATTAAGACTTCAATTTTGTTTGACTACAAACGGTGCTCGAGCTATTCTTGCTGCTTGAGTCGCTCTTTATCCTTAATCTGTGAGAGAAAATATCTCTCTATGACTTGGATTATGGAATCCATGAGTGATGTACAAATGAGAGAATTGAGGTAAAAGAGATTCATGCAGTGTTGCAGATGGGGGAATCCGTCATCAAGAACATAGGATTCTCCATCACCACGGTGATCCAAGAACGTCAACGAAAATACATTCATCGATCATGGTCGCTTGGCCATGAACCACCGATCTACTTCTTAGATCAAAAGAAGAAAGAAGAAAGGTGGAGAAATGTAACAGAAAGAAGAATCACCAGAGAGGAGGGATAGGAGACAACCTTGCTTGGTTCTTGGTGAGGGAGAAGCCTCCATGGTCATCGATATTTATAAGATCCGTCTTAGTCCAATACCTTGAATTTAATCATCAAATCTTTTTTATCATTTAATTAATGTACAATACCTTTAATTTCTTTTTAAATGAATAGATAGTTGTTTGTACTCAACTATGCTACTTGGGTCCCTAATTTAATGACGTCTGACCAATTAAATAAGATGGGTATCGGAGAGAGCATCCAATTTCTCATGTTGACCTCATTAATGACCTCGCGACTGTTCAATGCACCAAAGTAGTTGCCAACCACCTCAAAAATAAATCATTGCATTCTTAATGTTCTCTTGTGTGATAAATAAATGGTAAGGCTTTGTTAGGAAAGGCATCCGAAGAATATTAAATCCTTAAAAGTTATTTGGACTGAAACGATCAATGGAAATCGCTGCAAGGCATGGATGGGCCCCACTATCACGGACTTAGCTGGAATTGCCCAAGTCGTGAGGCACCCTTGCGACAAAGTCACGGACTTAGCTAGAGTTGCCTAAGTCGTGAAGCACCCTTGCGCTAACACCTCGGACTTAGCTGAGATTGCCTAAGTCATGATGCGCCCTTGCGACATATGCGTCTACAAAGAGTCAGCCTAGTTGCAACCTTGTACAGGTCCCGAAGGACTTGCGAAACAGAAAGTTGATTAGTTTGAAAACGAGCGACGGACAAGTCCCGACGTCTCACGAAAAGGGAAACTTTACAAGCAATTCAGCGAACACCTTGAGGGCAAGAGAGAAAAGAAAGGAATGGGAAAACAAGGACTTTAGAAGGTAGAATAAGCAGTTGCAAGTCCACAAACAACTGCTCACCGGGCGTCGGGCGCGAAGGCAAGTTCCCGTCAAGTTAACGTGTGAACTTGTGAAGATTGTTCAATGCCCGACACTATACTGAAGCCCCATCCCCCATGGTGCCACTCAGGGTATTCTAGGGTGCTGTGATAGCTGACGTTTTACGTGTGGCTGCGATATGCGGAAAACAGGCCTTGGCACCTGAAAATGGAGCCATTTCGGGGCAGTTTGGCCCGGCGCAATGAGCGATCGCACTACAACACTGCGAATTGTCATTGCTTACATTTTTCAAGCAAAAACACACAAAACCAAGGCAAAACATGTTGCCATGTCTCTGTACAAGCATGCAAAAGCGACGAACGATTCGTTGAACAAAGTTGTTACGGGTGCGCGATGACCGTTCATGACACCACAGAAAAGGAGGATGAACGCGGGTAGGCCCGTAAAGCGATTTGATCCGATCCGATCCGATCACATAATGTATGCTCGTGCAATTCGAACCCGATCCATCCTTAATTGCTTTGGATTAGATCAGGTCGAAACCTAAACTCTAAATCTTACTGCATTCTCCAGCACACCAATAACGGTCGAATTCCCCAACCGACTAAAGGACTCGAACGATGAAAAAATAATAAAAAATAAAATAATAAAGAGTAAAAGTAGTCGTTACCATCCTGCGTCATAAATGAAAATGGAATATGTTATGCTTATGGAGCCATGACGAGCTCTAGACGTATGCTGTGTCCGTCCAGTAATGGGTGGAATTATGTTATAAGCAAGCAATGTATGATAATAAAACTCCATTTTCTCTTCCACATTTTCTTAATTCTATTCTTCCAAATCACTAGTCGGTTAAGAATGTCTTTTATCTCATTGGGACCAAACTGTAATTAGGATCTTAATGGACAAATTACTTGTGGTTAATTCGCTAAACCTACACAGAACACAAGTATTAATGAAAGCCCTCTAAACTGGCAAGTCAGCAAGGACAGAAGTTAATAACAAGGATGTACCTCTGGGCGCCTGTGGTGGTCCACACTGAGTTTTATAAGCATCAATTCTCGTTCCACTTGTGGCTCTCTTGAGAGATCTTCAACCTAGTAATCACATGGGAGTCACCCATTATAACAAGAACTCTTGACAACATAGATTATTGAGTCAACCTATAGAAATGAGATAGTTTCAAAAACTCCAGGTTTAATAGATAAGAACAAAATTCAAATATGTGAAACTAAGTTTCCCAATGCTAGGAACATCGTAAAATCTACACGTTTGGCATAGAAACTAGCTGTTGCTGGACAGGTAAGGGATCCTTCCTGCCCGAAGAACTAGCTTTTGCCTCATGGATGTCATGAAGCATGAAGAAATTGATGACAAGTCATTTTTTCAACTAAAAATTTGACATACCTCAATTCCAAATTTTAGGCAATAGGATTTACAAAACTACAGATGACCATTTTATTTTAGCAAGACCAAGCATGTCTACAATTGATCGCTTAATTTGTTCACTAAGAGGTAATGACCACTTAGAAAAAATGTGACCAAAATTCCTGTAGAAGCACACTTTCAGGTACCAACCACTAATTTTGGTAATGTCTGCAAAATATCCAATGAAAGGTTTGCAATAATTTCAGGTACCATCCACTAATTTTGGTAACGTCTGCAAAATTTGCAATACTGTCTGGTACAATCTAGTATGGGCAGTAATTACTGGTCTGATAGCTTTCCACTATGCAGACCCGAATAAAGGAAGATATGACAGTCTGACAGTGTAATAGTATGCCGGTGCCACCCGGTATAGGAAGATATAGGCTCTGTATTCACCAGTTCTTTTTTTGTTTTTCTAGTTTTTTCAGACTTTTCCAGCATATACACTCAACATACTGGACCAGTATTCTTGACCTATACAGTACCAATGCAAAAAAGTTGCAAACCTTTTAAGATTGCAAACATTGGAACCATCTTGAATAACAAAATGAAAAGTCCCTTGAGGAACTTGACAGCCACAACTCTATATTTTTTCTGTGATGCATGATGATAATTTGGCTTAACCAGATTATGGCTTACAAGGTGGTCTACTTCAGATTACTTATCCAGTCAATTTGAAATGAAAAATATTAGCTTCTTCAAGATGAAATGACATGGCATCATAATTCTCCAATCGGAGGCAGTTTTGACCAAAGTAGAGTAGTTGTATAATATAAATGATTAAAGCCAAGAATTCAAAAGAAATCTAATTGTGCAAATGCAAGTGCTGCAGATAATTACTATAAGAAGGGAAAACTACCTTTAAAACATTCACAAGCTTATAAAGCTGCTCGACAACTTGTTGCAACACTTTCTCGGTGCCTGAGACAGATATAGTGAACAACGCCTTGTCCGTATTCAAGCCGACAGCTAGTGACTCAATGTTGTATCCTCTTCTAGCAAAAACCCCAGCTATTCGATTTATCATTCCACTTTCATCCCCAACAAAGACCGAAATCGTATGGCGTCTCACCCTATATTAGTGAAAATACTAGTCATTCAGGACTTTCAACTCTGATAAAGAATAACGGTCATCTAGAACTTTAAACATAAACAAGCAAAGTTTGGTGGTCTTCAGGTGTAAAAACAAATTCAGTGGGCTTAAATGGTACAATATTGGGAAAATGTAGATATACTTTTCATAAAAAAAAAAAAAGGTAGAGAAAAGGAAGAAAATAATGCGGTGATTCATGGCTTTGTGGAGCTACAAACTGGATAGCTTCATATTTGATTTTTATCTGGAATAGGAGAGCTGTCTGTGACAAAATTGAAATCTAAAGATAAAAGAAAACTATCAGTGGAGATACAAAGAATAGAGAACGAGGAAATAGGGCCAGACTGTCAAAGAAACTTCGTTGCTCACTAATTTCATGATAAAAATGAGTTTAATTCAGGGAACAAGAAAACCTTCAAATGCATTCATCTGAATCTACAATCCAATTGCATTTAGGACCCTAGCTATCGAAGACCTCAACAACAATCAGAAAATACATATGACGATATTGGCAAGCTATTTGAATTAAATCATAATATTGGTCTTGGTCACCGTTCGATATATCATTCAGGTTATTTTCAGATAATCTGAAACATTGGTCCATGATGATGATACGAAAAAATACATAAAAATAAGAAACTTTTGCATATAATCACCACTTCACAACTATAAAGCAATCACAATCAGACAAAAATTTTCTCGGTAGCCAATACCTCAGAAAAAGCTATTAACAGTGTGAAATTACCACAACGCAGTTCATTCCACCAAGCACTCATCCAACACAAAGACGTTCTTTTACAATGCTATCGATGCCCATCTTCTCATCTGAAACTCTGGAAGAGCATGAACTGATACAACCGTTAAAAGGACCCTTATATGTGCCTATATAAGAGATCGGCTGTCTAAAGCTTCCAGACCCTCGATCGTTAACTCTCATCTTTTTTAGCAACATTATGCTTGCTGACCGCGCCAATCTCGATCGTATCAACATAATAAGCTAGTGAGCCAACAAATTCCTCCTCCTAAAACATGCATCACAACTAGACGACGACAAAAACCGACTTAAAAAGGCAAGCAATGAAACGCCGCCCGCTAATCGAACAAAACCGGCAAAACGATCAAGACCAAGACACAACGAACTCGGATCACCACAAGAACCCAAACCGGGTCGAAAGGTAAAAGAGGAGGCTGAGCTTTACGGGTCATGACGCGTCGGAGGTGGCAAAGGGCTCAAGGGCGGCGGCGTCGTCTCGCCGCTACGATCCTCAGCGCCGGAGGCGTGGATCTCCGCGAACCCACGCCGGGGTCTCGATCTTAGCGCCACCGCCCCGGGTAAATCGCCGATCCTGGTTGTCCCCCTCCCGGGCACCAAATCCCTGCGCGATCGATGTCCCGCGAAAGGTTTCGTCATCATCGAAGACGACGGCCGAAAAGTGGCGAACGCCATGGCTGCGAATCCGCGACTGAGAGAGAGAGAGAGAGAGAGGCGGTCAATGGGCGGTCATGGAAGAAACGTCGGAGGCACGTCGGGAAACGATGAATTGACGAGTTTGCCCATAAATCACAGATATGTTTTTCTTGGTTTTTTATGTTGACAAAAATATTATTAATTGTATTTTTTTTTATTTCCTTAAATTTATTTAACTTCTTTCACTAATTTATTTATTGTAATTATAATATTAGAATATTTCATCTATTGCAGCTCACAAAAATTGGCCACATAACACATCTAAAATTAATTGTTCTCTCATTTGTATTTATAAGAAACGTCAAAAATTCATTTGGCCAATAAATTGCTATAATGTGCTGCTACTTTTTATCTTATTTTCTCCTATATATTTTTATTTAAGGGCACCTCTTGTTGGGGTAAACAACTTTAAGTCGTGGTCTCGGGACCGACGCGGCTTGGTTCGGGTCCGGATGGCGGGGATCTTCCTGGGACGCTCCGCCCAATTGTTGAGGTGACTGATCACGGTGTTCCGATTGGGATGGGATCATCGTTTCCACCGGGAGAGAACTCTCGCCTGCGCCTTTGGTGGATGACCGCCGCCTTTGCACCTGCTCCAAGGTCGGGTCGGGGGGCTTGACCCGACCCCTCCGACGATCAAGTCAATGGATAATCTTAGAGGTTTTTCTTTTTTCCCCCTTCCTTTTCTCGGAGCATGAGGGTTTTTATAGTGGGAGTTACCGTTGCCTAATGTGACTGCCTGCAGGGAGTAGGATCGTACTTCTGGTAGCGTCTGATATCAACGTTGGCGTGGCACGAGGGATCGAGTCTGAGCAGAATGTTAATGTATCTCGATCGACGTTTCGATTCGAGTTGACCAGGTGCTGTCAGATTAACAGAGGCGTGAGGTGTCGTCTAGGACAGCTGACGTCACACGAGTCTCATCATCGTTATTACCCCCATCACCTCTTTTCTCACCTCTTTTCTCACTCACGGATTAGAAACGAAAGTGATTGAAATAGTAAGAAGAACTCATACACCGCTTGTAATCGAACGATGAAGACCCGATGCTCAACTCAGACACTGTGATTGGATCCACCAGCCATTGCAACATCTCCTTTCGTACAATGTCACATCAACGTATGGCGATGGGGAAGCCTCAATCACATCCAAGTAAGAAAATTAATATTATTTATCATTTTTTGAGCTTATAATAAAAATTTATTCCGTGCAATGCTTTTAGGTAGTTTATTTATTATAAACTAATTTTCTTAATTGGATGCCATTAGAATCTCATTGCCATGCGTTGCTGGGACATTGTACAAAAAGAAAATGTTCGTATGGCCAGTGGACTCGATCGCAGAGTTAGATCGAGCATTGAGATTTCAAGTTTGTTCGACTACAAGCAGTGTTCGAACTATTCTTACTACTGCTTGAATCACTCTTTATCCTTAATCCATGAGAGAAGATATCTCTTTATGACTTGGATTGTAGAATCAAATGAGAGAGATTACTGTGGAATCCGTCATTAAGGATATAGGATTCTCCATCCGCATGATGATCCAAGAACACCAACAAAAATACCTTCATCCATCATGATCGTTTGCCCATGAACCATCCATCGATCTGTTTCTTGGATCAAAAGAAGAAAAAGAGAAAAGAAGAGAAGAATAATTGGTGAGAAGGGATAGGAGACAACCTTGCTTGGTGAGGAGGGAGAAGCCTCCATGGCCGTCGATATTTATAAGACCCGTCATGTCATAATCCAATACCTTGAATTTAATCATCAAATCTTTTTGATCATTTAATTAATGTACAAGACCTTTAATTTCTTTTTAATGGGTGCTTGTACTACGTGGGTCCCTAATTTATTGACATCTAGCCAATTAAATAAGACGGGTATCCAATATCTCATCTCGACCTCATTTAATGAATGATCTCTTCTTGACTGTTCAATGCACGGGAGGATGCAACACGGGTAGGGCCCGTAAAGAGATCCGATCCGATCACATAAGGTATGCTCGTGTAATCCGAACCCGATCCGTCCATAAACTGCTTCGGGTCGGATCAGGTCGACACCTAAACTCTAAATCTTACTACATCCTCGGGCACACCAGTAACGGTCCAATTCCCCAACCGACGAAAGGACTCGCTCGACGAAAGAAGAAAGCAGAATGAAGACTGAAAAATAGAGAGTAAAAGTAGCCGTTACCATCCCGCGCCAGGTGTCGTCAGCATCTTCCAACGGTCGAATTCCAGGCCTCATCTTAGAGCCTTTAAATACAGCCATCGGGGCCTCTTTCCCTTGACACACTACTACTGCTCGGTTGTCTTCTCACTCTTGGTCAGTTGTCGAGCGGGAATCTTTTTGCTTTTCCGTGAATCAGATCCACGATGGGGATGATGTCCATCACCTCCGCGGCCCCGGAGGCGTCCTCGCCGGCGCACTGCCGAGCCCACAAGGCCTTCCTCCTCAGCAACTACGTGCTGCTGGGCGCCGCCTCCAGCTGCATCTTCCTCACCCTCTCCCTCCGCCTCCTCCCCTCGGCCTGCGGCTTCCTCCTCATCCTCCTCCAGGCGCTCACCATCGCCGCCGCGATCGCAGGCTGCGCGGCGGCCTCCTCCGGCTCCTCCACCCGCTGGTACGGCGCCCACATGGTCGCCACCGTCCTGGCCGCCATCCTCCAGGGGGCCGTCGCCGTGCTGGTGTTCACGAGGACGTCGGACTTCCTGGCGGAGGGGCTCAAGTCGTACGTGAGGGAGGAGGACGGGGCGGTGATACTGAGGATGGTGGGGGGCCTGTGCGTGGTCATCTTCTGCATGGAGTGGGTGGTGATGGCGCTGGCCTTCGTGTTGAGGTACTACGCCTGTGTGGATGGGGGAAGCGCCAAGGTGCAGCAGGGGGAGTATACCACCGGTACATGGCAGCCGTTCCAGGTCTGAGACCATAGTTGTGGCTTGAGAGCAGAGAATTAATTGTATGGGCTGTTGGCAGATGCATTTATGTTGCTGTAACTCCGATTTGTTATTTATTCTAATAGATCAGTGAGATCTGTTGATTTGAAGAATTCCATATTAAACATGTTTAATCTATTCTTGACATGGGCAGCATTCTGGCAATATGAAAGAAAACCTGAAAACATAATCTATTGTAAGGTGTCTTGTTCCTCCAACCTATCTTCTTCTCACAGTAGTAGTAGTAGTAGTAGTAGTAGTTGGTGCCCGCTGTGCCACTTGCCCTTGAGATGTAGATTGCCCAGCAACTTGTTGTTCCTCTGGCATGTTCATGGCTTGTGTCATGGCATTCATCACGATGAAGCCAAGAGGAACTAAATACAACCACTGCATGTATGACAAAAATTATAAAGGAAATGAATAGTCGTCGGGTATTGATAAAACAGAAATGAGCAGCTGATAAATAAATAAACAACACTTCACTTTTCTACAACAAACATGCTGGGAAATTGAGAAAATGAGATTATAATAAGGTGGCAACTCACATATTTAGCCCAAAAAGATTTTTCAGGTGGCTTCACACCTTCACCAAGTCCATCCTCCCCGGCAAGCAATTCTTCGGCAAATGTTGGAGTTCTGAAAGTATAAAGAAATTTGACACCATGGACAAACTTGTTTACAATTTCCAACAACAACCCACCACCATCATTTATGGAATAACTTGAGAACTTCAATATCAAGTATTAAATCATTAGGTAATTCACCACCATCATTTATGGAATAACTTGAGAACTTCAATATCAAGTATTAAATCATTAGGTAATTCTATCGTATAACAAATTCATTCACAGAAAATTTATATATACATGGGTTACCTTGGAGCTTGCTCACTATTCTTCAGGACCGTATAGGATGTGAATGACCATTTTGCAGGCTGAAAGCAACATGAGAAGCAAATGATTATCCCTTTATGAATATCTTCAAAAACAATATCAGCAGAAGAAACCACATCCGTCCGTGTTTAATTAAAGATTCAAGCGAATCAGATCTGCTTTTCTAATAATGATTTCATGGATATTTTCTTAATTTAACCTATAGAGCAATCCGCAAACAGAGATAAATTATGTTTTGCAAGCATAAGCTTTTAAAAATAGTTCATATCCCCAGAAACACTGAAAGCAATGAGAAAAGGTAAAAATCACTCAGAAGTTTTGAGTTATGTCATGTAACCGCATGGTTTTCCAAAGTGATACATCATAAAGATCGAAAAAATATTCTAAACAACTAGAAACAGCCACCAAGAATATAACTCCTTCATAATCCTCAAAATTCTGGCATGTGGAAATTTAGGTGCCAATAACCACACTTATCGATTATCACAATGATCATCTGTCCATGTATCTATAGAAAAAATAGCAAAAGAATTCTAGCTTATCATCCAGAATTTAATGTTCTAGTAAGTTTTTTGTGAAAAATATTTATTTATCAAACTTTGTGTAACATAGAGCACTAATAACAGAGATTAACCTCATCAACTTGTTCAGATCTTACTCGACAGAGTAGCAAGACATACACAGTTTGTGTTGTTACTTTCTTCTAATTATGCTATGTGCAGGAGACCTACATAACTGCCCTTCTTTAGTTTCACTTCTACATTTTACTATGTCAACAAAAAACTCTGTAGCTTCTTACTATTACCCAATGACGATAGTTCAACTTGACTGAGCTAATTGTTTCAAATAAAGCAACTATCCATTTCACTCCATTTTATGAATAATCTTAATTTCAGCAGTATAAATGCCTCAATTACACTTCATAAGTTCACTACTCAGTCTCAGCAAATCACTATTCTCATTGTTTCATTCAACATTCTTTTATTGTGTGACAAGTGACAACTATGCTGAACAATTGGTGTAAGCTGCAAATCAAGCCAACTATGACAAGCCAAAATAAACTTTCATCTAAGAGAAATAATGGAATATGACTATCAATTTGTGATTTGGTATGGGGTTAAACAAAGCATTTGACGTGATTTTGGTGTTACTTTTCTGTAAAGCACTTGACAGCAGTTACAGCCC